AATCTCAGCTGAAATTATATCGTATCTCATAAAGCTTGTTTTTTTATAAATATCTAATTTACAGGAGAAACATGGTTTAGATAGACAATCATCAGGATCAATATTAAAATATCTAATTCCTAATAAAATGGAATAAAATCGAATCAACTTAAAAATCTATAAAGAAATAACGTATATGAATAGTATAAGATTCGCAGGCGAGCGAAGGTAACACAAGCATGCGCGTCGCGCTTTATTACTATCGGACATTTTCGACCGCGCATCTCGTGGACCCTGGCGGTTCTTACAACCGCCTAGTAATTTTGCACCTTGTTGGCTTTGTCTCTCTTCTCCTCTCTTCCCCGTCTCTGTCTCCCTTTAAGCGTGGAATGCATATTCAAATGCCGCGGGTCTGATAGACGGCGCGTGAAGACATTTTTACGACGGGTGAGTGGAAACCGCGACTCGACTCGAGTCTCTCGAGAAACGCGCGTTCGCCTCGTCCGTCAATTTCTCGGTCGTTCGGTGTTATCGAAGGTCGCGATTTCTCGCCCAAAATGTCACCGTGCGCGTCCAAAGTTCGAGGAGGAGCGAGATCGTGAAAAGCTCGGTCGTTACGAAACGGCCGATAACTCGTTCGCGTTATCACTCGCCGAGCGTTTCAGTGACGATAATTCTGTGTCGGGTTGCGACACGACGAAACATTGAAACGTCCTCCCTCTCTCTATCTCACACACACACACACAGTAATGTCACTCGACGGAGGTAGGTTCTCATCTCGACGAAACAATAATTCATGCCGCTTATCAAACTTCGACCGACATGAGGCACGCTTCTCACGCGCAACTTCAGTGTTCGCCGATAACGATTAGCGTTAACCCTTTCGCGATCCTTCACCAACCTGATAATTCTCTTGATAATTCTATATATATACATTCCCCTCGGACAATGGAAAAATTCGTGACTGTTATTTACGAACTGTACATATAATCCCCGTGTCTCTCTGGTGAAACATTCGAAACGGCAACGGAAACAGCTAGTGATTATTAGTTGTTTCGATAGGAATTTAATTTATTAGGAATTAAACTTTACAATTTCTCGAGGGTTCGTTCAATCAAATATTGCTCCAAGCCATTGCGCGATACTTTGTTGCTAATCCTTAGGATGAGAATTGCTCGAGAAATGATAATATTCAAGGTAAAATTTACGAAAAATAATTGCGATTAATTGTATCCTCGCGTTTAGTATGTAATATTGCGTAAGCTCTAGCATCTCTCTCTCTTTCTTCCCAGAGCTCATTATAAATAAATCATCTATATAGAGAAAGTAAAAAGTACCACAGAATTTTATAATGTTGGACCTTATGACTAGACGACTATGATGTAATTTGTATGTTGTAATTTTTATATATATGATATACATCACTAAAGATTACGAGAACTATAATAATTTCAGTCATATATTCTACAATTATTATGGTCCAGCGTTACGAAATGTTGGTGGTAATTTTTACTAACAATATTTTCCCCGCATATCTATCTACTTATCTATCTCTCGAAAAGTTATATTGCTCCCCATCTATCCCTCTTTCAAATGTATTTACTTATCCTTCCATCCGTCTCTATCTCTCTCCCCATCTACTTAAGAGCGAATTTAAGAATTAGAAGAACACGGCGGCGGCGTATCAAATGTACCGACGCGCGGCACGTAGAGCTCGCGCATAAATTACGGTGTTTAAACGGAACGACGATCTCTCGACGAAAATTATGAGGTCGGCCCGTGACTCCCGCGGAATCCCGTGTTTTGCGCTCGGAAGGGGAGAACGGAGCTGCACCGGCGATTAGTCGGACGCGTGACGTCAATGACTTGTCTTTGCGAAAGGCTCGAGAGGGAGGAGGTGGCGAAAAACCCAAGGAGAACCATTAAGGCTCGCCGCAGCACCGAGAAAGAGCACCGTTCTCGCGCGCGCGCTCGCGAAAATATTCTACTGTAAAATAAGAACGTAAAGGATACGACGCTTCTCGTTTCGGCGCAGGTCCTCGCACTCGACCCGAGACGTCACGAGACGTCGTGTCGGGATTCGGCCTTTCGAACCGCGCGAACACCTGGCCGGCACGACAAGGCGCGGAATATTTTCGTGGTCTCGCGGGGTCTCGGCGAGACGGTCTCGTGGTTTCGCGCGGAAATCCAGGAAGGTTCTTCTCTCCCCCGTGAGGTACATCGTTCTCTCAGATGCCATCGGTATATAGATAAACATTCTCTTTCTCCTCGGAACCTTTCGAGAGGAGGCCCCTTGCCAGAAGAGAGAGAGAGAGAGAGAGAGAGAGAGAGAGATATAAAAGGCAGCGAGTTTGCCGTGCTCGTCGTCTCTTTCTCTCTTCCTCTCTCTCTCTCTCTCGCTTCTCCTCAGAGAGCTCTCTCCTATCCTCTCGGTGCGCTCGCACGCTCGCTCGCTCGCGAGCAGGCGGGCGAGCGTGCGTTCACGTGGACGCACATACAGCCTTCCCTCGTGTTCGTGTGATGCCAAGGTGGGGGAGAGGGTATTGTGTCTTTACGTTGCTGTGAGAGGCCGAGCGCGGGCGCGCATGTGTGTCTGTGGGCATAATCGTTTATTTCGCGTCGACCTTTGCGGGGCACTACGTCAAAATGTCAGATGCGACCCCGCCTGAGCGCAGGGAAGATGCACTGAGAACGCTGTAATGGGCTTACAAAGCGTAACAAACTGATGCGAGGTCAAACACACGACGGGCAATAAACACACGTAGAGATAAATGGGCCCTTAAGGTGCACCACACCGGGCCTGCCGGGAGGGAGGTGAGTGTTTCGTCTCTCGACGCGTATCTCAACGTTTTGTTTGCCGCTCGCGCGCGCGCAAGATAGAGAGAGAGATGCGTGGCAGCGATTCGAGAACGCGAGCCCGAGACCACTTGGCCAGGTCCTCTCATTAGCATTTCCAGAAATCAACGTTTTCCTACTTCGCAACCGCGAGTGGTTTTAACAGCCACCCACTTTTGTAACATATTTGTATTTAAGCATCCAAATACAATTGTTCCTCCGTCCAGCGTCCTCTTGCATTGCTTTTTCGCGAGAACACGCTTCTTCCCAAATCTCAACGAATTTTCTTTTATCTATGGGAAGCAGTCGTTTATGCAAGAGGGTTGAAAAAGCACTCACTCTCTTCAACATTTTCACATATTTCTACACGGAAAAAAAGTCCCGTTTGCGTCTACAAAGGGAACAACCAGATGCGTTTCGTTTGAAGGAAACAGAATTTATAGTTCTCATTCATCCAAACGTGGTTCTTATTCTTACAATACTATTTTCTTCAACCCAAACTGGCTGTTCCCTTTCCGGTTAAGGCACCAGACTTGTTTCCGTATATTTAAGACGTACGCTCAACGTTGTTCCGTCTTTCTCTTCCATCATACATTTCCTCAACGTTGCTCTCTCACGCGATTACGCCTCCCCCTTCGAATAATTCGCGCAAATCTTTTTGCGAGAAACATCGCAAATATCCCTCGTTTCTAATCGAAGTCGCTCCGTCGTCTCCCTTTCTTACCGTGCAGTTTCTCTCGTGGATTTTATTCTATCGCGAATTTACGGTCACTCCTCTCTCGGCGAGAGTGTTTCGCTCGGCGGAACGATACCCCGCGAGCGTCGCCGCGCTCGGCGGAGGGATGCGATCGCCGTGAGCGACTCGCGCGGCGTAACAAACTGACGCGGGGTCAAACGCACGACGGGCAATAAACACGCTGAAAGATAAACGGGCAATTGGGTCCACCGGGGCGCGGGGGAAAGTGTTCCCGTCCGCGGATACCGCGGATGCTGCGCGTACTTTTCGCTTTCGCAGATCGATATGAGGAGCAACGTATATCGCCGGGATTTACAAAAGACAGGGCCCGGCTTTACTGCCGTTACTCTTGTACGTTTTATAACATGCCCGCGCTTTACGATCCGGCTGGCGAATAGTTAACGACTCGTCACTCGTTATCGTCGCTGTCGCTGTTATCGTGAATTGTTTCTTCCGTTATCGATGCGGGTACCGGAGGTGCATTGAGATTTACATCAAAAAATTCGTCGTGGCCCGCGAAACGCCGTGGTTCACATAGCCAACCGCGGCTTGTACGGTCGAGAATATCGTGACACTTTTATCTCGATTATGAGATTGCGTTTGGTATCCAATTATTAAAAAATTAATCTTTCGGATATATGGATGCGTATCGCGAAATTCGCCGAGGAAGAAAATATCACGCAATCTGTCTGTTATTAACCATATGCACGTCTGTAAAAAATTTTATATTAAAAACGTCCCATCGGAACGTTGTTACTTTAATGAGGCGAATATTAAAAATTGTTGACAAGATGAACGTGTTAGTTTAACTTTAGAGTTTTTACCTTTTAACATATCCCTCACATTAAAGTAACACAAAGATTTCAGTGAACACACACACACACACACACGCATATATATGTAATTTACTTATTCATAATTAATAATATTGTTAACACTCTTCATCGGACGCTGCACATACGTGATGAATAAAGAATGAAGAAAAAATAAAACACGAAATAAGGTTGTCACTACCACTTTACCCTATTTAACGCGCACATATTAATTTATACATAATTAATAAGTACATATATTAATTTGGAATTAATTTCTACGCTTTTTTGACGATAAGAAATTTGGAATAAGAGAAAATTCGCATTTCCATCGTTTCTTCCTCTCGCATTTTCCCCGTATTTTCACAGTGTCACGATTATTATCGCGACACGCTCTTTTCCATCCGCTCGCAATCGTCGGAACCGCTAATCGCGTTCTAATTGCGAACATTAACCGGCCAGAGCCGAGGAAGTGAACTATCTCGGGTCGATCCAGCCTTGGCCGCGACGAGCGAAACGTCTCGCTCTCGTCAGCGCGCGCCCCACACCGCTTTCTCTCCTCGACATTTTTTGCAGTCCGATCGCACGAACGAACGAACGAACGATAATATACGATCTACGATCTTAAATTCTTCCAGATGCCGCAGACGGTGCCGACCGCGGCCGGCTATTCGCCATCGTTCGACTACAGCACCTTTCAGTTCGACCTGTCGCTCTTGCCGGACGATTACAGCCCGACCGGCCAAATCGGGCTGAAGAGCTCGCAGATCAAGCAGGAGGTGCACTCGCCGCGACCAGGATCGCCCACGACCTACCAGAGCCCGCCATATCATCAGAACAACGGCGAGCTGCCGTTGTCGCCTAACTACTCGCGCGAGGGATCCTCGCCCGGATACCCGACGAGCCCTTACTACGTGCCCAGAAGCCCCCAGAGCGCTCAGTTTTACCCCACCAGCCCGGAACCGTCGGCCAAGCAGCCAGTCAAGAGGGAGAAGAGCCTCGACCTCCTGGCCATCCTTCAAGAATCCAGGTAAGTCCTCTACGGTTGAGACTCGTGTCGAATGCGAATTCGCGTTATCTTATCGTTATGGTGGACGTCACTTTATATTAAATTTTTTTCCTTCAATCATAAGAGTTATAAATTTCAATTTTGTGTATGTGAAAAATTTTCATATTATGCGTATGAGTGTACACGTAATGCGACATGAGGTATTCCAGATCTGACTTGCACAGGAAAGATCTTGATCTCCATCGAAATCAGTCATTTCTGGCGGCAAACGTGTTTTTTGTCGTTCCAGAAAAAAAAGTAGTAATAGCAATTGGCGTGTAAGATTATAATTGTTGATACTAGTAGCCGAGCTCGTTGCAAAATGGTTTTTCTCTCACTGTGAAGTACTCCACTGTGCAATTATAGCGGCGAATGTCAAGCGCTTTTTCTCTCCGCGTAGACGTTTCATGGGATTTCCTGCCGATACTTCGTTAACGAAAACACCCGAGAGTGTCTCTCGTTAGTAAGTTCGGTACTTTTGAGTTACCTCTTGCATAAAATAATAGGTCTCGCGTAAAATCTGACCCTCCTTTTGCGTCGACGTCGACGACAGGTTGGGTGTTAGGCGAGGCACGTCGCTCGCGTTCAGCGATCGTCGCGGTCTTTGATTCTGAACTTTACAGTTGAACTAGGTTTTTCATCTTTAGAGTGAAACAGCCACCTAGCCGAGCATTGAAAGGAAAGGGATCGAAGCTGTACGGCTATCGCGATCAGTTCAGCTATAAAGAACCGACCTTCGGGGTCGCCACAACTCCTCCTGACGGGTCGCACACTTCTTCCTTGTTCCAGACTCTTAGCCGAGAGCCTGGGCTACCGCGAGGACTCGACCGATTGCACGGTGCCTTGCACTCCGCCGCGGAGCGAAGAGGACATCTACAACAGCCTGGACGCGGACTTCTTGCCGAAGAAAGAGGAGGCCGGCGTGCAGGGCCACCACCCGTTGCTCAAGGAGATCCTCTTCAAGGAGGAGCCGCGATCGGTCTCCAACGGCTCGTCCCCGTGCCTGTCCTCATCGTCGTCGCCCAGCCCGAGCGAGTACGAGAGCAGCTCAGCGCTGCGCGACCTCCTCTTCAAGGGTGTCCGCAAGGAGCCGGCGGACGCGATCACCAAGACGAGCCAGCTGAAGGTGGAACCATCCTCGCAGGAAGAACTGGCGAATCCCCTGCGCAAGGAGGAGGAGCTCTTCAAGGACGGGCAGAAGAGCGATCATCAGTTGCTGCGCGAGGTGCTGCGCGACACCAGCTTCCAGAGGAAGTACAACCTGAGACCGGTGGACCTCGGCGGCGTCGGCACCGGCTACGTCGAAGATATGGAGGCCGGCGAGTGCGTCGGCGACCTCGCCCGGGAGCAGCTCGAGCCGGTCCTCAGCCTGGCGATCCAGCAGCTACAGAAGGACTTCGACAATACCTGCGTGGCGCTCGGCATTCATCCAGGTGGGTGTATCCTTCCCGTCGCGCTCTCTCGTCGACTCGCGAAATTCCGAGTCTCCCTCTTTCCCTCCCCCGCCTCTATCTTGATTTTATTACGTTTCTACGCGCGCAACGTAGAATGACGTATCACACACACGTGTCCGATCTATCGCAGGCACTTTCTCAGCGAGCAGTGTGCAACCAGCCGCCCGACCTTGCGCGTTTATCCTTAGAAGCGCGCCATTCTTCATAATCGTCACCGTGACAATGGATGGCAATCACGCGCGTACACGATAATTATTATCATTATCAGACGCGCGTAGCCGATCTCGCCGAGCCCGCGATTCCTGTAGATTTTATCGTCGGGTCTGCCCCCTCCACCCACCGAGGTGCGCTTCGACAATGTAACTCGACATGTAACAATTACTTAGCGATGATTACTGATTCTGTCGCTTTATCGCCCGCCGGGGATCGCAGCGTTTATCATACACGCCCCCTGTACAAGCGTGGATCATGAAATCATCGCGTACATCGCGATTTCATTCGAAGGATCAAATAGAGCGCGCCTCTCTCTCTCTCCTTCTCTCGCTCGCTTCCTCGTTCATTTCCTCGCGTCCGTTTCGCGTAGTCTTGCTGATTCCTCTGGCAGGTGTGGCAGGCTTGATTAATTCCTTACTTTCATTCATCCGCGGACTATCTCCCCGTAATTAGATACCGTAGAAAGTTGGCCAGTGCCACGCAGCGCGGATTAAAGCGGTTGAGATCGCGCGATCAGAAACACACCGGCGCGTACCTCGATTTCCTCGGCTGAACGTCGGCAGCCCCCCCGCTCCGCCAGACCTTCGCGTTACCTTGCCGCGGGCGCAGTTTCGACGTCGACGTCGTCTTCGTCGCCGTCGTCGTCTTCCTCGTCTCCGCCGTTGATGTATACGCGATTGCCTCTTGTCCGTTAAGTCCGAACCATGATGTCACGCTTGAAATAAGTTACGAAGTCGTATCGGCGTGCTTTCACGCGGAGTTACGAAATTACGGCGCACCGACGTGACGAGGATCCCACGTCATCGACGCAATTGCGCCTCACCAATTTCTTCTCTCAGATAGAACTCGATGCGTGTATCGAGAGATACGGCGCGTAGCTATTTTCGTTTTGCGCGAAAGTCTCGTTCTTCTATTTGGTCTGGTTTGTTGAAAGTCATTCGAAATTCGTCCCAAGTGAGACGATAGATTGAAAATTCAGAGCTTGTTATATAAGTTTTCTCGATTGAATTACCATTACGAATAAAACATCTCACATAAAATATATATATCATGTGTGTGTGTGTGTGTGTGTGTGACTCAGCTAAAAAATTACAGATCTCACTTCAAATTTAAATGTGAGTATTTCGCTTGAAATGAGTTTCAAGTAAGACGAGTTTCACAGGATTTAGACTCATATCAATAGTCGTCATTTGAAACTCACCTCACATGAGATACTCTGAGTTCCAAGTTAAATCTGAGTTTTTTAGTTGAAATTTACAATGACGTCACATTTATAATTGCGATACAACTGAAAAATGCAGATCTAACTGCATTTAAATCTAAGTATCTCACTTGAGACAAGTTTCAAATGACAACTATTAATACGAAATGTGTCTTTGATCGTTGCTTGAAATTTGCCTCAGGTTGAGGTACTCCGATTTGAATTTAGAGTCAGATGTGGGTTTTTCAGTTGAATCATGATTGCAATTATAATGTTGCGTGTATTGTATGATTAAAAAAAAAAAACTCCAATCTAATTCTAAATTTAGATCTCACGTTGAGATGAGTTTTAAGTAACGACTATTAATACTTTAGATTGCAAATATTTACGCTAGCTCGAATATCCTTAATTAACCGATTCTACAATTTAACATCTATATTGCACACCGTTGAATTTAATCGTATATCTTATTGTTTTAAAACTCGAGGAAGAGGCACGATTGCACACTGCGTAATTATACTTTTTCACTTAGCCAGCCAATTGACGCATCGCGACTTGAATTCAACGTATTTCCCATTGTCTCGCGGTAACAATTGCATCGTTATAATAACGTGGAATAGTAATCTCGCCGCGTTTCGCCACTGCTATCGCGCGGCTACGCATTTTTTTCCAGAGACGACCGCGGAGAATAACGTTGGATCGCCGGCTTTTAATTGCAGAACCGAGACGCTGGAGCGCGGCGGATGTTGCGGCCTGGGTGCAATGGGCCAGGCGGCAATTGCAGTTGCCCTCGGTGCCGCTGGAGAGCTTCAACGTGGACGGTGCGACGTTGGCCTCCCTCTCCGAGGAGGAGTTCTGCCAGAGAGCTCCTCAGGTGAGTGCAAATGCACTTTTATTCGCTTTACTTTAAGGACGCAACGGGACACAAAGAGGAACCCGGCAAATTTTGTGGAAAATTATCCTCTATTATTTTCCACGTAAATTCCATTGTAATCCTTTGTACCTTGTTTCATTAATTATCGATTACCACTTACTATTTGTTATTTATCATGAATTATTTATCGTATATTTATCATTCATGTATTATTTATTACTTATGTATTATTCATCCTTTATTCTTTATTGCTCCTTATTGTTACTTATTTTATTCTTTTTCCTTTATTACTAGTTATTCCTCTTTCTTTCTACTTATTTCTAATTATTATTTCCAATTATTCCTTTTCATTTCTCCATTTATTCTTACTTATTCTTCATTTTATAACTAGTTTTGACCTTCTGTCCCACCCGACTTGGATTTATTTCTATATTTCGCGCATGTTGCGCAACTTACAATTTCGACATATATCGTTGACGCGATATCCAATGAACGATCTCATTGAGGATTCATAGGTGTCTCAACGACTCGATCAGCCGATGATTTTCGGCTGATTCACTTCTCTCTCTCTCATATTAAAGTGCTCAAGTTTGACGATAGTAAGCGGCACCATCAAATCGTGTCGCGCAAGATTTCGTTTCTCCGTACGAAAGATATTTGTCAGACTTCTCCCGGCATTGATAGCGAACAGACGATCTCGCGAAATTGCCACTCTTATCAGTCTCGTCGATGTCGTCACATTTTTTCGCGAGCCTTATCTAATGTCGTCGTGAAAATTTACAACGGATCTCGCGTTTATCGCGGTTTACAGGCGCGCGTGAAAGTTTCCAGTTTCATTCGTAATTTCTGCGTCTCTCGAAAAGGCGTCCGCATTTTTCCCGCGAATGGTCAGAGAGAACCGTGCGGGGGGAAACCTCGCAAGTGAACGAGCGTCGAAAAAGATCGGCGACTTCTCGAGCCGGACTTGTGAAACGCCCGCGACCGAGGTCCGGTGAAAGTGAGTTTCCTGGTAATCGACGTGCGTTTACGTTCTTTCCGCGTAATTCATACCTGAAGGAGCGAACGGGTAGGAACTAAGACCGTAAGGATTTCGACACTTAATGGGATCGGGATTCCCGCAAGAATCACCTGGCGAGCGAGAAAGAGTCACATGCGTTTGTGTCAGCCACGTTAAGAAGGCCCTTAAGGGGGCCACGTATATCCGAGCGGCTCGGAAAACGCCCAATGTTTGAATTCTTCTGTTGATCGCATTATTGACTTTAAAAATGAGGTACTCCTTTTAAAGAATGATTCTTCAATACTTTTATTAATATATATCACATGAAGCCCATTACAAAAAAGTTGACATGCAATTTTTCGCCAGAAAATTTCTCCTCTCTTCGTCTGTAAAGAAAAGCAGCCTCTGGCAGATAGAAAAAATACCACGACAAGAACTAGTTGATCTTACTAAAAATGTCTGTGCAAAACTACAGATACATCACTCCAGTAGTTTCCGGGATATTTTGGATACTGATGAGCAATGACGAGCTTCACGTAACGACAGCGTTACATATCAACTTTTTGTAATGGGTTTCATGTAATATGCGAATAAAAGTATTGAAGAGTCATTTCTCAAAGGGTCATCTTCATAAAGTCAACAATGTGGACGGCAGAAAAATTCAAACATTGAGCGTTTTTTTCCGAGCTTTTCAGATCTACGTAGTCCCTAATTAATGAACCGACGTTGTTGCACGTTATCGACGTTGTTGATTGTCTCCCCTCTCTTTCCCCTTCTCATTATTTCTATTAACGGATCCTTTCACGAAGCTGGGAAGACTCATTCGCTGATAATCCGATATCGAGAAGACGCGCAGTGCGGCGCGATAAATATAAAAGTTATCGCGGGAATACGAAGTTACGTGACGGGAGCCCGTCCCGGTGGAACGAAACGCGAGGCACAACAGGTATTTTCCTCCGCTGCGTTTTCCGACGTGCCACGCACGTGTATGCGAGCGCGCCGCCACTGCTGCATTGTCGCTTATTAAGTAACAAGTTTTATTTCCGTCGGCGCGCGGACCGTGCGAAAAACCGGTTGCGCCGATGTTGATTATACCGCGCTAAGCGTGGTCAACCCTAAACTTGAGAAAGCCAAAGCGGCAGCCAAGTGAACTTGACATTATCATCGCACGCGAGGCGGGCAATAATTTCAACAAATAACGCGTTGCATCAGAGCGCGAGACCGGGCTCGTGAAAAGAAAGAAAGAAGGAGGATATGAAAGAAACACGGTAGTATTTAAGTCGTGACTGGGTAGATCTCGAGGCGCATCGATCGACGCGCATCTCGTTACGTCGAAACTACAGGCGTCGAGCCTAACGGAAATTAATAGCGAGCGAAGTAGTGGTAGTAGTAATAGTAGTAGTGATAGTAGTAGTAGTAGTAGTATTTGCTGCCACCGCCGCTGCCGTTGCTGCTATTGCTGTTGCATGGCGAGCGGTGGGGAAGTAGTCATGCATAATGGATTCCGCTTTGCGTCTAGTAATTGGATAATCGCGCCTATACCGAAGTACCGCGGTAATCCTCGTAGCATGGAATCATGGTCAGGCTTATGGTCACGTTCTATCTGCGATCTCGCGCGAGTCCTGCCCGAGTCGCTCGTTCCCTTCCTTCGTTCTTGTTGACGCGCGCTCGAATTTCCACCGCTCGAACTTCATTCACGCCGGGCTCCTAAGCATACCGGATTGTCCGCGAAGATTCCTCCGGTCTAACTTCGCAGTTCGCGAAGTGCAGTCTCGATCGAGCGGATTCGCAGGGTCGGGATCTTCAACCTCGTGTTTGACTCCGTTAGACCCTACTCCGTCGTCCGACTCTTTGAGTTTCTTTTCTTTTTTAGAAATGATAAATAAATGCTCTGCGAGAGTGAAATTCTACGCTCAGAGATAAGAAAATTGCAGCATTTGTGTTTTGAGGATGAACCTTGAAACTCATTCGATAGCCAGTAGGAAAATTGATCTTCTGAGAATCGTTAAGAAAAATTCTCTTATTGGTTGTAATATATTTTCCTATGATCAACCTCGCGTTTAATTCCGTAAGACTTTACCAGTTGTCCGAATCTTTCATTTTTTTTTTTCATAAACACTATATTGCAAATAAAATTCTACGCTCGGAGGTGGAAAAATTGCAGCACTTTTTCAGCTTGAAAATTTATCTTCTGAGAAACGCAGAAACACGCAAAGTCTCCTGTTGAATACAGATGCGTTGCAATTTTATTTCTCACTTTACTGTACTTTGCATCGGTGTGCGTTGCGAGGAAAACATTGAAAATCATATTGTGAAATTGCGGCAAACGAACGAACGAGCTCGAAGAGAGCGAGAGAGCGGGGAATTAGGCTCGGGTGACTCCGAACTCTGACGCGGCTCGTAAAAACTCGAACNAATTTCCCCCCCCCCCCCGGGAGGGAGAGGGAAAATAATTACAGCATTCCTTGCGGTTTGGTGTAGCGTTCTAATGGCAGTGATTATCGATATACGAGAATCTGTTTCCCGGAATGACACGACGCACAGTCGAGTGTAATTGCGGCGCAGCTGAATGGAGCACACGGAATGCTCCGACATTGCACAGTTATGTCGGCGGATCAAGAGAAATGTTTTACTCCGGGCGCATCTCGGTATCATCCCGATTTTTATCCTACTTCCTCTCATTATATTTTATTGTGTGCAAAAGTGCTGATATATATATATACATGTCAGCAACGAACATTGTTATTAAGGTAAACCCGAGATATGCAAAGCAACATAATACCATCATGTAATAACAATAGCATAAAGTATGGTAAATCATAATAATAACACATTAAGTACAATATCATACACATTAAGTACAATATCATAGCAAAATATAATACAAACTACAAATAAAGATACATGCCGATAAAATTTATTTTTATCACGCTTCATCGTTTTGTTGCATTCATCTTTTGCGACTCGATAATCGATAAATAATTTAATTCCAACTGCCTCGAGAGAATCCAAAAGAACGAAGATGCTCCTTTCCAGACAAGAAGGAAGCGTCTTCGCCTCTCGTGTGGTCGCGTCTGTGCGTCACGAGGGTGAACGGCGATGCTCACCGCGACATTGCGTGCGTGCGTGCACGTCGTGCTCGCGATCAACAGGATCGGCTTCGTGTCGTACCTGGCGTGTGTATGTGCGCGCGCACGCGCGCCATTGCCTGGGCAGGAACGATCGAGAAGTGGGTCAACCGCTCGAATGTCTTGCCTGCGTTGCGTCTCAACGGAGAGCCGCTTTCTCTTCTCTCGGCGCACAACACGACTCTTCCGTTGGAATTCTAACGCTCCGCGCCTCGCTTCTCGCTCCTCCTCCCCTTTTCTCTCTCCTACCTCCCCCCTCCTCTCTCTCTTTCTCTCTCTCTCTCTCCTCTCTATTTAGTCTATTCTCTTTCGCGTCCTCCCCCTGCGCTCGCCTTTCATTTTTAATCGCCATCGCGATCTCTCGCAGGAAATTGACCGGCTCGGGTGTCCAATACACACCAGATACACAGAATGCACAATGGATCGTGCACTTTGACCTTATATGAGCGGTTCCCGCGGTGAGCTGTTCGCCCTTTTCAAACGGAGCACTGACATGTGACGATTACACGTTATGATTTATATACATGTGTATATAGAAAGAAAACAACAGAGAGAGAGAGAGAGAGAGAGAGAGAGAACCGCGGCCGGAGATCGTTGTGCCGGGACTAACGTGAAATCGGCGCTGGTGTTTGTGTTGCAGTGCGGAAGCATGTTGCACGCGCAACTGGAGATCTGGAAGGCCGCGGTCGAGGAATCGCCGCGCAACACATTAGCCGCCTCCTGGAGCCCGGCCGGGGTGGTCCAGCCGCCGAACAGCGCCGTGACCCCGCCGACCGTCGGGAACACGCCGACCGCCAGCGTCAAGGGGTCCCCCTGCACCATCGACTTCTCAGATGGTACGTTATCAACTCTCCTGATAAATTCAATGAATATATATATTTTTTTCACGATTACACTTCGACATTCGTCATTGTACAAAATAGAGAGGACCTTCCCGAGTCCTGACGGCGGACAATATTGAATTTGTCGCAATTTATCAATGATATCGGAGACATCCAATCAGTAAAAACGGTTCGGTTCGATTCTCAAATTAAATTTGACGTTATTACATTCAATAGGCGCAAATTATTCACCAATTAAGCAATCGCTATCGTTATTTATGATCTCTCGTCGACTTTTCGGCAATATTTTTTTTCTGTATCCCTTTAAGCCTCAACCATCATACAATCGTGACGGTCAGATGTACATATACAAAAAGATTCAAAAGATATCCTAGAGACGTCCCAGGGATATTCGAACATTCTGAGATGTCTTTTGTGCATTATTGTGGACACTTGCTATATGGTTATACGGTGTATCTGAATTCCAGCGACAAATTCGCAGGACAGATTCCACATGAAAAATTAAATAAACAAGTAAATTAATAAAAAAATTTAGTAAATATATGCAAGCCTAAAACGCTCAGTTCCCGAGACATAGCTGCCGCAATCTCAGTTTTAAAGAAATATATTTTATTCGTTAAATCGTGTTTCACAAATAAGCAACTAAACACTATACTGTTATAAAAATTAAATGCTCGATTAAATTTCAAGATATCAAAAATTATATTCCAACATAGAACCTGTCCTCTAAGTTTGTCGATGAAGTTCAGATACACCCTGCATATGACTCACTATGTGAGTCTCAATCATCGCGACCGTGACGATGCGTTTATGGGACTCGCGTAAAAAATATTTTTTCGCGACGTTTCCTTAAGATTCTAAGGTGGTTTTGAAAGGAAAAGAACGCTTATACAAAACAAATATCTAAACAAACATTTTCTTCCCTCTTAAAAGGATATATTTTAACCGTAGAAAGTAGCCGATTAATTTGCCGGTTGAAGAAGGCAGGGGCGATTGGTTCCGTATATTTCCGACCGAGGCTTCGCATCAACATCTTCCGTCTCAATATAAAAGCCCAACATCCAATTCTTTTCCTAACACCAAACGACTCGGGACACTTGAGCTATTCACCTTCTCATCGTACCTCCGTTCGTTCTTCGCTTTGCAGACGAGGACGAGGAGTGCGCCTCCGGCCAAGGCGGTAACAGCAGCGGCGGCGGCGCAGGCGGCGCTGGCGGCAAGATGCGCAACGGCGGCAGCTACATCCACCTGTGGCAATTCCTGAAGGAGCTGCTGCAGAGCCCGGGCGTACACGGCTCCTGCATACGCTGGCTGGACCGCGGCAAGGGCGTCTTCAAGATCGAGGACTCGGTGCGGGTGGCGCGACTCTGGGGCAAGCGGAAGAACCGACCCGCCATGAACTACGACAAGCTCAGTCGCAGTATCCGGCAATACTACAAAAAGGGAATCATGAAGAAGACGGAGCGCAGCCAGAGACTGGTCTACCAGTTCTGTCATCCTTACTGCTTGTAAGGAGCCTCCGTCTCTCTTCTCATCTTTCCTCTCCTTCTTTCTTCTCTCTCTCTCCTGTTTCCTTATCCCTCACTTTCTTTCCTCCTCTTCGCCCAAGTGCAATATTCGCGCGCACCCGCGATTCGCGGCGAGTGACTTGAAGGAAGAGCCCAGCACGGAGATCGAAAGGTAAAAAAAAAACGACGACGACGTGATCCGCCATGCTCGATATTATCCCGCGACGATAACGCCGAGCCACGGCTGGGTCCGCTTAGTACGCCCGTTTTGGGCGATCATTTTCACCCCCTCGTCTTTCCACCCCCCTTTCTCCCCCTCGACCCTTCCACTCGTACTCCTCCTTTTTCTCTCTCCTTTTCTCGCCCTCGTTGTCCCTCGCGTCAGCCCCGTGTCTCCTTCTCGGCGACGTGAGGTGAACGGCGTCGCGACGCCCTGCCCCCAGCCCTTTTAGCAAGTAGACGCGGTCAGCAGACTCGCGGGTCGTCGCTCTGAGGACGCGAGTAGGTGGAGATTCGCCAGAGAAAATGGAAGAAATGAGTCTTTCCTCTCTATTCTCACGATTGCTTGCCGGCACCAGTCGTCGGGATCCTCGAGCCGCGCGACGCGCAATACGTCGACGGGGGTGTACCTTAGCGCGCGGAACCATTCGCTGCTGCTTGGTACGCCGTTCCTGCTTCTTCCCCGACGGAATGCGAAACGCGATCGGTGGGACCGTCTATTTTTTATACGAAGCACTTTTGCACGTCGCGACAGCCGGAAAAGGCAGCCGTCCTCCCTCCGGCGCAAAATCGTTCGGGAAAAATCACGTAACGAATAAGCGGCAATTGTTGGTCGCGCGAGTTACGGAGATACCTCGTCGGCGAGGAAAACTTGTCTGTTCGCGTCCAGATCGGAGATGATTACAGACCAACGTTCTCCGACGAGCGATTTCGTAACTTTCGATGGGCGCGCGAAGCTCCTGCGACACGAAGAGACGATGAAGAAGTTCGCGGAAATATTTTTGCCGGCGCGCGCGCGCATGCGGAGGTGTTGATTAAGTTGTCGAGTGTGCCTTACAGAACAGCCATCGCGCGCGAATGAAAGACGCGATCGCGGCGCGTTCGAGGCTCTCCGGATGGGACGCGCTGTTGAATCCTCGCACGCGAACCCGAAGTCGGGACCGTCGTCGATCGTAGAGAGAGGCCTCTCGCAGTTGGGAAGATCGCTACAACGGCGATCGCGTTTTGCTCGAGGCGTCACGAATGCGCGACTGGTGCTGGTGATTTTGGTCCCATATATCTATGATATATTAAACGCTGTATGTTCCATGAACGATTAGACTTTAAGGTTGATCTTAGCTGCGTAAGTTGTATCGAGGGGCTCACGTGAGCCCCGCGTTAGGTTTTACCACGAAGAGAGAGATTCTCCCGCGCGCGGAAAGTCGAAGCCCGTGTAGATCGGAGTGTCCGCCGGGCGAGAACTCGGTTGCGGGAGTGGAAAGATCCCCGAGAGAAAAATATGAAGAAATATATTTATTTGGGCATGCGGAATGCACCTTGGAGACTTTAGCGCCTTGAACTCGTTGTCGATTTCCGCGTTACCTAGCGATTTCTCGCTTTGCTGATGTGACAATTCATTGTGTTTACCTCCGTAGATAAGAATTCTGGCGGCAAATACGATGAATTGTGCGAAAGAATCGCTGGTTAAAACGCTGAAATCAACGTAAGTCCACAAGGTACTTTCCCTGCTAATAACATATCTACTTATACCAATATATATATATTTATACTGAGAAAAGCAAATTTTTCGAACGAGAAAATATACATTTTCTGAAATCTGTAGCTTTATATGGAAGCAATTGTTTATTCTAATAAAAGAATTCAGATTTAAGTAAATATGTTATTAGCACTCACCGAATAAACCCTTTTTTTCTCAGATATTTTTTCTCCCAACAGAGAAATTTTCTAGTCGGTTAATTATCTCTCTGAGTCGAGTTTTAACGCACAAAAAGAATATTTGGATAAACGTTTTCCCTCCTGACGATAGAAATATCGATTCTCGTCACCGAGTTCTCGCGCGGTCTTCATTCTGTTACACGAACTGAGATTCTTTTCCGCGTGAAAAAAGCGCTCGCGCGACCACGACCACCGACGCGCCGTCGGTCGCGTCGAGTTTTCCCGCCTTCTACTTCGTATGATTTTAAGCTTTGCTCCCTGCGCGTTACTGCATAGTTACTTCTCACCGTTACATTTGATAAGTTTTCGTCGGATTAACGAAACTCTGAAATGTCGGCATTTCTCGATTGTCTTCTTCGTACCGCTTGCCGATTCTTCTCTCTCCACCTTTTTTGCTCTTTCGCGATATTTCTCTCTTGTTCACGTTGAATTCGCCGTTGCTTACCCCGCTGCTTTCGTGCATTTTAACAATTAACAATTAACGTTATCGCATCCACGTATTATTGTAACGAGCATACGAATTAACTAACACCACACAAACAGTTCGATGTAATTTAACGCCAAGGACTCGTACTAACGTATTCACGTTCGCTCACCGATCGGTTGTATATATATAGATATACAAATATTTGTAACATAATCATTATATATATATATATATATATATATATATACATATTATAGATGCATATATATGTATTCGTTATATTTATTTAACTGAGTCTAAGTTAGTTGACACGCGAGCGATCTCGCCGTCCCGAAAACTCAGAAGCTATCTAGCGCGACGTGCGAGATTCTGTTCGCTCGCGCGAGATCGCGGATTCAACGTTGGACCGCGCGGTGATTTTCGGCCGTGCGTCACTCAGTCAGCAACTTGACGAGCATACACACACGAGGTGCGACTCGAGTCTCCGCGCACCTATTATCACGCAGAAAACTCAAAGCCAAAGAACGTGGCGGCACGAGCGAGCGAGCGAGCCGACGCCAGATAGTTTCGTCGAGGAAATAGATTCGCTCGCGTAATTAGATCGTAAAGCGCGCGCTTCTACGGCTGCTGCATTTCTACGACACGTACATTATTTTTTACGCGGCCTGACGCGGAACGCTCATCAAATTGGAAGTAGACCGAGGCGGACCTCGAGGTTTTTTTTCCTCTCTTTCTCTCTCTCTCTCTCTCTCTCTCTCTCTTTCCTTCTTCTTTTTTTTTCCGCTGAAAGTCGTAACGTAGAGAACGGATTTGAAGTTTCGCAAAAGTGATACCAATCGAGACGGGTTCGCGAAGTAAACGCGCAAACGACGCTCGGAACGATTCATTTTCGGCCGCAGACTTCGCCGTGATCGAAGTGAAAAGGCACGAAGTTTTGGACTCCTTAAAGCGGAACCTGTAACTTGGGAAATTCTCGGTAAGCTCGGAGACTTTGATATTGTTTAAAATTGCTGGAAATAAGGAAACTCAAGCTAGACTGTTTTATTAGCAATTAAACGAATTGACACAAATTGCTATTGTTACTTGATACCTCGTAGTGTTCGTTGCATATTTAATTTGATTAAATTAAAAACATTCATTCAATTTTGATTAAATTTGATCGACTTAAATTTATTCGTTTTCGATTATATTTATTTGATTTTATACAATTTGTAAATACAATGCAAAAGTGTCTTTTCATATTACACAGTAAAGAATTTTATTGCAAATAGCCCACTCAAATTCTTATGTTACTTTAACGAGATGATTATGTTAAAAAGTAATATTTCACAATGGGAAAAATATATTAATTTAACATATTCGTGTACTTTTTAACGCATTTTAACGTAATTTAACATATTCCCAAGATTAAAGTAACAATAATTTAGCTGGACCGTTGTAAGATAATTTTTTAATGTGTACGACGTTCGATTCACGGTGGAAAAAATTTTAAACGAGGGGGTCACCCACAGTCTGTTTCACGCCAGGCTCCGCCGCATTCTGTAAATTTAACGGTAGTTGGCTCTTCAATTTCGCGATAAAGTGTTGGTGCAGCCCAGGAGGACAGGGAGAGGTTGATTGCAGCCAGCCGGTGGCTGTAATCGCGCAGAAAAGAAAGAAGAAGACGAAGAGCGTTCGTCGACACGAACGAAACGTCGAGTGCGAATTAATTTCGTTAGGCAGGCGGAGGAAGCGGTAATAATAATAATGATGATGATGATGATGATGATTGGAAGAAAAACCACGCGGATATCGAGTAGCGACAACAGCTCGCAATTCCGGAAAAGCGGCCGATGTTGCGACCGATTGTTACGAATTATTGCGTCATTAATTGTTAAGAGATCGCGAAAAATTGTGATTAACGAGACGATTAATTGTGATGAATGAGATTGCACGCGTGCGTCGAACGGAATTGGTTCGTAGGAGGATTCGCCTCTTCCAGAGCGAGAGAAAAATAATTGTGCTTCCATTTCCGCTCGACAATGATCCGCGGCGATCACCGTCCGAGCGGCGACCGTGTCGACGCGAGCGTGCGCGCGCTAGATTGTACATATTTTTACGAACGAACGACTGACCAGTGTGTGGTCACATACATACATACATACATACATAAATATTATATACATATATTTATATATAAGGCGTTGCTGGTTTTGTATGAGCAGATATATTTAATTAGGACTAAGCGTTGATTTCCTACACTTAACAACCGGTCTTGCGCCACGCAGAGNAGGTGGCACTAATTTAGCAGTCGCCGGTGTATTATTGGTGTAGCGTGCGCGTGTGTGCCGCATAGCGCGCAACGGATAGATAGAGAATGGCATCTTGCATGTACCTCTCTCTTTCTATATATATATATATATATATATATATATTTATACACTCGCGTGTTTCGACTGTTCTAATGAGATTAGGGTGGGTATGGCGTATCACGAGATAATAATCGTAGTCGAGGCTGTTCTCAGACGCGAGTGCGCCGCGTTCTGTGAAATCGCTCGGAGTGTGACTGCCGAGAATCCGGTATGGGATTGGACTCGAGGATAGATTAATTAGTCCTCCCTCTTAACACCGCGGCTCAGCCGTGCAGTGAGAGACCACGCTGCTTGTGAGATTCATCAGACTTAGTCGGCCGACGATCGGTAAAGGCACGTTCGAAGCGCGCGGACTGAGATAAGCCTCGACGAGAGCAATAATACGATATGATATTAATGATAATACACATACATACATACACACATATATATATATATATATATACACACACATAGATATATATATTTTCTTACGCCGAGATTTCTCGCTCGCTCGACATTCGGGGCGAGTTACTAATACTGAGCAAGCGACAATAAAAAGTGGAATAAAAGTTTCGTAAACGCGCGTGTACGCGCTTCTTTCCCTGTGCGCCGCAATTTCCCAGCCGAATCCAGATCGTCAGCGAAATTGTCCGCAGCGCGTTCAGTTCCCGAGATCCCCGGAACTTCCGCGCGAACGCCAACGCGCGGTTCGACGCGCAATCGGACGCAGTCCTACGTGCGTATCGGGACTCGCTGCGTAGAAGCGAAAGCGCCGAAAGGTGAAAGTCTTCGGATGAATTTCTAATCGTCGGTGAATTCGCGCGAATCACTGCTCCCGCATCTCCTCTCTCGGCTCTATTTTCCGTTTATTAATAGGAATTTCCCGTTAAAGAGAGAGTGGAATTAAATTTATGACTTATATGTGTAATTACTTTTTTTTCTTTTCTTAAGAACGAAACATTTTTTGTCTTCGGAAGTGCCTGAAGAATTTCGTTAGATCAGTTTTTCGCGCTGGTGGCGTTGAGACTTCTGCAGAATGGAGGAAGAAAAAGGACGTTTTAATGTGTCGCTGACAGTCTTATTTTTAAACGACAATTGAACTACATTTGAGCCACAATTGAACGACAATTGAAACGGGAAACTGTTATATAACAATTCGAGACAGTCGAGAAGGTGCCGGAGATATATAATCTCGTGTCGACGAGATCAGCTGTTCCTTTGTACATAAAAACTCGAGCGAATACAAAGCCTTTCGAAGCAGATGTTTATACACAGACTTCTACATACTATTAGACTGCTAGCTTTCCTTATATACTCTATGAAAAAATAGACTCCGAAAAGTATATATTGTATGTGTGACGTAAGTAGCATAGAAGACGAGATGAATATGGCCGATGTCAATCAGAATGAATGTCATATTACTTGTACGACGTACAGGTATGATTCTGTACATATCTCTCGGAGCTACGTATTTCGTAGGAGTCAGCAGTCTAGTAACACATAGAAGTATATACGTTTACAGCGATTTTGAGGTCGTTCAGGTGAGTCTTAAACGTGAAACAATATGAACGAGAGTGAGAAAGTTTAATAAAACAGTTAAGTTATTGGTTTTTTTTTTGCATCTCAAATTACAATTATCATAACTAAAGGGAAGAAAGACGATCGAGCATGCCGTAACTGAACAAGAAGATTAATACAACCGGAGGTCATTTCTCTCCCTTCCTTCAGATCATTCAGTATAGTGTGCTTTCATTTTTAAATATCGTACGAAAAGGAAAAAGAGCTGCATCGAGATGTATTTTTTTTCTTCATACGGGATCGCTAAGGTTCAACGACTCGAGCATTTGAGATCGCGAGGGTCCCAACAAGTGAGCGCATCGATGAAGATATCAATCTTCGGCGGACGTCTTGTTCTTCCTTCCCTTTTTTTTTCTTCCTTTCCTCATCTCGACATCGTGTTTCGTCCGCGCGAGTTTGAGTGTACAAACTTCAGCCGACACGCCGCGATAGGCCGATAGGCGGGGGAGTATTTACTCTCAGCGCGAGTTTTCCTCGAGGGCGATGTAACACGCTGGTGGTTGCGCCGGGCATTCCAATTTCAGGATCGACGTCTCCGGCGGCGCGAGAGGGAGGAGGAAGAGGAGAGAATGCGGCCGGGAAGGCGAGAATCTCGCCGCCATAAAGATTCGTATCGGCCTGGAAACGTCGAGGAGACGCACAAGGAGGAGAGTCGGCTCTTCTCTCTTCCTCCCTCCCGCTCGCTCATCTCTCGCTCGTCCTTCCTCTCCGCCCTTCCCCGCCTCGCACCTTCGGTGCGCGCACTCGACGAGTGGGCGTCCCTTTTCGAGATTTACGACGATTTAATCGCGCAATTAATCTAACACCTTGTTGCAACAACACCTCGCGCCGAGCGGCGCGGCGGCAGGGTAAAAATCGCGAGCGAGGGCTCCGGGCCCGAGAGAGAGAAACGGAGGGGGCCCCCTTTCGATCTATCGCGTCGGATATCGTCGGGTCTCTCGAGAGCGTGGTTAAGCCACGGTGTTAAAGGGGAGTAACGAACGCGCGCGCGGAGGGCACCTCCGCAGGCTCGAGGTGAGTGGGTGAGGGCGCAGGGGGGCAAAGGGCGAGCGAGGAGAGATAGCAGAGTTTCATAGCGCGCGAGGCGAGCCATAAGCGCGCGCGACCGCGTATCGTTAGGCGCGATAAATGAGTCCCCGGCGGTTTTTACATCGGGCCCCATGCACCGGCTATTGTTTCGCGCGATGCCTTCGCGCGAGCTCGCTCGGCTCCGGCATAAACGGCATAATTCACGAGATCGCGCAGCTCGTCTGGGACGTGAAAATCGCCAGCTAACGCTGACATCACGATTCCGCTGTTCGCGCGCGGAGCCGCTTATCGCCGCGCGAGTGCGATTCTAAAATTATACACGCTGTCGGTAGGACGAAGCGATGTAAGCGAGCTTCGTGAATCGACAAATAGTCGGAGGTGTGTCGACGAGCAAGAGAGAGAGAGAGAGAGATATCCTCCGAGTGTCGCCGGGATCTTCTCTCTCCCGATCCTCGAATGCACCTTTCAACTTCTTAACCCCGAGAGCAATACCTGTGATTTCTCGACGATGAAGCGACATCACGGGTCTCTCAGGCCTGCATCGCGAAAGAATTTGTAGAAATTGCGACTTTAGCATTGTTTTTTTTTTTTTATTAAATTCGTTAAGTTCAGTATTAATTTTTAGATAAGTTTCTACTTTGTCGTCTGGCTGCCGTCAGGAAACAAGTTAGAGCAATAGAAAAATACGAATGAGGTGTAACGTTTTGCGCGAAACATGGAAGAGAGGGGATAAGCGGGAGAAAACGCGCATAGGCCTCTCGCAGGCTTAACATGTCACCGTTAGGTTTAATCGCGATCAAGCTGTACATGAATAGCGTTTCGACTTGGATTTTATTTTGTACAGTTAATGTTTCTACATGTATATATACCCGTTTGTATCAATTCGCTTGGCACGGTTCGTTGAAAAAATCGGCAAGCATCGTGACGAACATCCGTACGTAATTCAGAATAATCATCAATCGGACGCGGTCTACGTAGGTTGATGTTGGCGATCGATTCGCGCGCGGCCTACGTGAGCCCGCTAATTTAATAAAGCGAGGACGACCGTCGCAGGCGAACCGAAATGGTAAATTCGCTTTAAGATTCCCTCAGATGTTCGTGATGGCGGTACACCGGGCGACGAGGACACCCCCGCAAACGAGCGCGCGCGCGCTCGTTCACGTTCGCTCTGTCTGTACGATACCAAGGACAACAACATTCTCCGCAAAACTAATTGCCAGGTAAATATATACGAACAACGAGCCGCGGCGTGTGCGTGCGTTGCGGACGACACGCGGCGGGGGCCCCGCAGAGCCTCGTTGTCTATACGTTGGAATTTATTGCGCTTGCCCGGAGCGGCGATAGCGGGTAGGAGCGAAAGGTGGCGG